CTCGTTTGATAGCAAACTACGTCTTATTCCAATTTTATACCTGAATAAAAGGTAAAATTCGGTTTTATAAAAGTTTTAATATCGTGAAATGCCCGTTCATAAAGCATCCTGTCTTTGTATTTACCGATGTAGCTTGTAAAGCTAACAATATGGCTCTAATCCACTGCTAAATTCTATAAACCCTTATATGGTCACCTCTTAATTCCGTAGAGAAATCCATGGTTTTGCACGCGAAAAATATATGGCTTATAGTTTGGAAACCCTGAATGGAATTGTAACGGCAGGTCGGGTTCAAAATTATTTAGAAATTGGAAAAGTTTTGAAAACCGAATTATACACTTCTTCCAAGTATAAAGTTGGAAAAAGACATATTGTTCAACCAAATGAGTAAAACATTGTATATTTTATATATTTTTCCATGAAATATAATTGAATGTTTAAGGGCATCGAAAATAAATGAGAAAAATGCATGTAGTCATAAGTAGTCATTTGTTACAGAGTATAGTTCTTGCACCCAGCAGGAAAGGAATTCGTTTGAAAGCCGGCATCCCGAGGTAACTGAATTATTAGAGAATTATGCTGCATGATGATTAATTTTACTACCCTATTTAATTAATCTTTTCGAACCGAAAACGCATTTCGGAATTTCGATTGACATTTCATGAGTTAGCCCACCCACTGTAAGTGTTGAACCCTCGAACTCCCTGTTTGCAATGAGGGAGGGAAGTACATCAAAAATTTGAAAACGGAGGCATCATACAGCTACAGAAATTCATCAAAAATGGACAGACAAACGAATTATTCCAAATGTTAAAAACGGTAACACTACTAAGTACAGTGTAGTCAGTCCATGCATAATTGTGCTGTAGCAAATTGGCACGATCTCAGTTATCTGATGTTGCCGAAGTGAATTCCAACATTCGTGTGCAACAAATTGGGACAATGCGTAAAAAACAAACGTTGCTGAAATACGTATAGTAATGCTACCACAGTAACAAACTGTTAGGGCGGAATGCTAAGACGATATCGATCGGGTGACATTATGATGTGTAGTGGTATACCGATCCTGCTTGTGCTTAAAAGCCTCGACGGGTGTGGATATGACGATATCTGCAGGCAGAGCATTCTAAACTCCAACACCGTGTGTTCAGCCTAGAGCTAGTCACACTTAATTCGAATAAGTAAAGCCCTCATATATGACTTTACTTACAACCATTGCCTTAAAAATCAGTGTTATATTCGTAGATAAGCTGGAACTCGCACCTCTATGAAAACTCTCGAGTTGCAAATTTTCAATTATGCTACGGTGTCTATAAGGGTGTTGCCTCAAGGATTATGAGCATCTACTACGCTCCAACCAACAAACCACGGCCCATGCAGCTTGGTGTGTGCTGGCAGTTCTCCAGCACCTGGTTCCCTGCCAGTAGATGCGCTTGCGCTCCCGCTGCGGTGTTACCGTTGTTAGTTAAAATTCTGGTCAATTTTTCGTTGTGGACGAAGGGGTGTCATAGTACGCCTAGGTGCGGGCCCGTCTGTGTCATTTACCTGCACCTTCTCCGCCCCCCCCGTCTTCTTGACTATATCTTGACAGCGGGCTCAGGTGGGGAGGAGGAAAGAGTGCGGCTAGATGCTGCACAGGTGTACTCCGACTATAATTCATGCGCAAGTCGCCACGCCTGACTCACCTTGTCGTGGAGCACACGGTAGATAACGTAGGGCACGACGGTTGAACTAGCATGGGGGCTTAGAACGTGCTTCATGTTGTGAAACCGCCTTGGTTTGGAACCGTATTATGGTCAGTCAATGCGACAGGTCGATAGTGAGAAATGCGGTTCATGACTGTTTATTAAACAGACACGAGAACCTACTTTTTGTAGTTGGCCTTGGCTGAAAGTATATTATCTTGCGCTCTGGTCGGCAGCTAGGCATGTTCCGTCTTTTTGCAGTCCGCATTTTCCGCAACAAATGATCAGCTGGAAAGGCTTTCGCTTACTACAATCTCAGACAATATACATTTAAATGGTTATGTCACAGCTACTAGCCTATGACAAGTAGGCGTTGCATAGTATATCACAATTAGGTTTATATGACGAGCAAAGCTACGGTATTCGTTGTGACGGATGCATTTATTCTTAATCGGCTATCCAGATCCTTGCACATTTCGGCACCATACTAACAAATAAGTAGTAAACTCCGTACACAGTAGTGTGATTTTGGACCTGCAAGTGATCACTTGTATCCTAAAGGAAATTAACAAGTATTTGGAGGCGAGTGAGGTAGGCGTATGATGGTAGGTCATTATTTCGAATGAGAGTAGTGAAGAAGAGAAGCTCTTATGCAAAGCTGACGCCCCTACCTGAATTCAGGCGGTTTGTCACCTTACAGGTTAACAAACATCCGGAATTTACGAGTCTATAAAACGTGATATCTCTGAACAAAAAGCCAAATGTCGTGCATGCAAGAAGTGCATAAGAAACATCACACTACGGCGACAAATTGTAATGAGAATTCGGGTGTTCGCACGATAGTAAAGCGGCAACTACACCAAAAATAAGGCACGTAACGAGAGAAATACTTCATGTTTTTGGAAACATTTGGATAAGGCTAACTATAGGACCACAAAACTGGGGCTCCACACCCTGTTCCTCCGGTGTCATTTTAGTATTTATCTATTCATTAGAGTACAACACCCTAGATGGGCTATTCAACTATTGATATCCAGTCTCTGCTCCATAAGAAAGACTTACCTATCACGAAAATTATTTAGGTCTCAAAGTGTTAGAAAAAAAACAAGTTGGAAACTAGGGGGTTAGCAACCGTCGACGGTAGGAACATAATTTTAACAGGAAGTGCTCAATTGAAGTCTTCTTTCAATGTTTGGAAACTCAGGCTTTAATATGGCCTTTAATATGGCTTTATCACAGAAACCCCATAGATAAGTCTCCGCACATTTTGAAGTCAAAAATAGACCTGAAACTACTTAATTTATCCGTTTGATGATTTACAAAATCGTTTTAGCCATTATATGAAAGTGTGGTCATCCTCAGACTGCTAGTTCTGGTCGCTGAGTGGTGCTAATGGCCACTGGCTTCGAAAAGACTTCGATATTTCATAAAAGCAAGTAGCCCCAGTGCCTGATAATTCTCTCCCCTACTTATTACAACAGGTGCCTTGGACTCGAATATCCATCTAAAATCATTGATTACACATTTTTCAGAAGAATTTGCGGACTTGAGAATATTTTATTTAAGGAAGATAAAGAAAAACATTTGTCCAAGACTTGATCGTAGAACCGTTTAGTTTTTGCTTTCCAGTTTGGAACGGATCCAGACACCATCACAGTAAAGTTTGCGGTCACCCAGGAAGTAGATCGTTCGTTTGAAGAAGTGGTAATATACAATTGACCCTAAATAGTGAAGGAATCAGTTTCAATCCCACTGAAGTGAGCAGTTGAAAAGGTGAACAGGTATTTAAGAGGTTCAACCACAAAGACCCAAATATGTCCTAAAGTACAGATTTGGGCGAGAAACGTCCCAAAATTAAGCTAAAGTTTTACAAAAAAACAGTGATAAACTCTGTTATCAGCAATCATATCATATTTTGTGAATAACGCTCGCTATAGACAATATCACAATCAAGGCGTCAGAGAGACGGGTATGCAATAACTGACCACCAACAGAACACCACCAGTTACGCTCTGAGCCCTAGTCTGTCCCGAAATGCAATATACAAATAATAATACTCTTGCATTTACTTGTAACTGACTGCAGACTCTGAGAAGCATGTCTGCACTGCAGAAGCTTAACATTCAGGCCCCTACTCATTGCAAAATCGAAACTAACAGCAGGCACTTGGTTAAGACCAAGTGTTCCAGAGCGCAGATCCAACTGGTGACTAGTAGAGCATTAGTCGAGCAAAACTCAATCAAAATAGACTAAAAATGCTCCACAGAGCGTAAAAACCTCAGAATGTCGTGTTTATAAGGCAACAATCAGTTCGCGAAGACTCTATGATAGAAATATCAAATAGTTGCCTTTGTAGACTAGAAAAAGACATAAGCAGATGCCAAAAAACTAAGAAATTACACTATTACGATTTTTCGGTGCCTAAATAAAGCCGATTTGTCAAGGTGAACTTAAACTGAATCTTCTATAACATTCCGATACACATTGTTCTTCCATAGGCAGTAAGAACATTTGACTAGGCCTCGTTATGGTATGTCGTAATTTTTATGCAAGAAACGGTCCAGCACGCGTAACTTTGGCTGACAGTTTTGATAAACATTGTTTTTTATAAGTTTTTTTGCCGTTAAAATACTTAGTTTAGTAAAAACAACGAACAAATAAACGAAACTTGTGTCCTGAAGTCAATAACATGTCACTCGAACTCCAAAAATTAGTAAGAACACGATAAACTTCTCACTAGATGAGTCGGAGAATATAAAGAAAGTCTAGAAAATTACCAACGTGACCAATGCTAATACCTGCAGATCATAAAGAAGCTAACAAATGACGAGATTTGGTCATACCCGTCGTGATCATGTGAGAATATTGACAACATTATGGAATGTGCTGTAGTCAATGGAGTATAGAGAAAAGCGGCAAAGAGCTAAAATACTATTGAGCAGTGTAGATAAGTTGGAGGATTAATTGCCTTTTTAAACACTGTTCTAATTTCTTTTTGCGTAGTCCACATTCTTGTCACTGTTCGTCCGAACGGGCATTCCCAGACCCGATAGATTAAGACAGATTTCGTAGCCTAATCATCATTAACTTAAGGACTCATTTGCTTAGGTATTACCAAAACAGTTTTTTCTGCCTTTGATAATAGTTGATACAAACCAAGATACGAGTTCCTGGAACAGTTGATAATAAGTAGAAGCGCTCGCTGGAGCAAGAGCTTTATTCGCCTGACGTTTCGGATTCTCGCTCGAAGTCGTCATCAGAGAAAGTGGCAGATACGGGTGATTAACGCGCAGGAAGTTGTAGTATTTATAGGATGCATTTATGACACTGGAACCAATACGCCAGTCTCAGTGCGGAGGAGTTGTAAATGTCCGATTAGGCCGATGTGTAGTACAAACGCACCATTGCATTTAAAACAGGGTGTTAACTAGTGGCCTTTTGACGTTCGATGCCACCAGTATTAAAGTGAGTGGTGGAGGTGGAGTTGGAAATGCTGGTGTTAGAGAAGTCTTCAAATATAAGAGGTAGGTTTGTTAATATGATATTACGGTGAATTCCACTGTCAAAGAAAACCATATGGTCGACTCGATCCATGCAGGGGCTGAATGCCAGCAAACTATTTATCACTGTTGCCTGCCAATAACGCTTACGGAGGACATATTGCTCGACAGTATTCAATGACATACTAGCACCCCAAATGGTTTATTAAACGTTGCCTCTGACTACCCAACATAAGTATAACGTAATCCTCAGTCAGATGGATGCGGTTTATCAGCTGGTATCCTAGCTGTCTTAACAGAAATTTTGTAAACGATTGTTAGCACCAGTTAGGTCAAAATTCTTCCAAATAACTTGTCCGCCGAAAAATTTAAAGATAAGCCATTTTGTTAATTTTTCAGCGCTGTAAACATTCTAACGGAAAACATAGTCTTAAAGGTGAAGAGGAAATTTAAAGTAAACACAATTTTTTGCATGCTTATGATATAAAGCTATACGAGTTAACAAGCCATATGATTTGTGCGAGAAGTCCCAAAAATGGATATTTATGATAGGCGAATTTTGCTACACAGTCAGACAACTGACATGACACTTTGAGGATTTCGACAAACCCAGAAGGTCAGATTTCCACTGTAGTTGGGGCGCCATCCGTTCAAACTAAGCCATAAAAGCAGTACTTTGCACTGAGATAGCATATTTTTTGCTGTCGTCAACTGCAAAACTTCTACCGGTAGGTCGATTAAGTGAGACATTCGGCTAACTGCCAATTGGCAGTTAATTTCCTTGCTTCTTGTACAATTAATGGGAATGTACACACGCAATTAATTTAAGTCTCTACCCTGACTGCGAACCGTAGGCATGCGCAGCATCTTCACTGCTGTGATGGTACCTGACTTGTTATTTATATTTCGTAAACCAGCTCAGTAAAATATCATAGATCTTTCCGAATGCGTGCCCCCCTTAGGCTCTGCAAAAGGCTAATATGAATACAAAAAGAGTTACATGTACGCTGGCCGGCAACAAGGGCAAGGTAACCTGGATTGGAGACCAATTGTTTTGTATTGTTCCATCTCAAAATCTACATGCGATGGGCATTTTGAAATATACTACACCAACTTACCAAGCCCCAGGAATGCGCTGCAACACAAAGAGCGAAGTATATAAAAACAACAAGAAAAGTCCCCCTCAGTTGTGTGAATAATAGTCGCATGAATCCAGCTTGAAATAGATATGTGTTAAAGAGCTGTAAGGCGATAACTATGACGGCGAATACAACAATCAAGTCTTGAAGGCTGAAAGCAATATTTAAATGCCCAAAATGGGAGTTACATGTAAACGACAAGCAACCGAACATTGAGTGAACCAATATGATCAGCGATTGAATTTGCAAAGATGTCGTATATAATGAAAACAAATTGGACAACAACCAACAGCTGATAATGCATAAGTTGAAAATTGCGCAAGCTCACAAGGTCATTCGTTGCCACTGTAGTTGTCGAAGCCACTGAAGAATGCAATATAATTAAAGACTTGTCGAACAGACGCGAAGAGGTGAGTTCTAGGAAGTAGTTCGGAAAAATGAGACACGACCATTAGAACAAGAATGATCTGTCAAACAGTCAAAGACCCGTTATAATTGTACTATTTTGTTATCCGAAGTTTGTTCCAAGTACAGTGATGATGAGAAGTTAAAATAATTTAAAACAGGACGGCCAGCAGAGCGATGAATAACAGTGCTGACCAGAGACTCCAACTAGAATAAGGCGAAATAAAAAAGAAAACGCATATATTATCAGTTCGGTGGAAAAAAATAAAAGGACTAGGTTAAGTACCGAGAGGACCACCATGGCAGATGATATACCCAGTGGATTTAAGAGTCTCTAATAGACCGACAGTCGACAGATAAAATGACCGTTTTTAAATGGAGTAGAATCTGCAAAACTGTCAGTCGGATTACGTTAGTTCCATCCTAAAAGTATAAAAGCTAAGTGTTTGAGAAGAAAGCGGCGCCCAGATACGTTAACGTATCTCATGAGGCGGGGCCATGAGGGGGCCAGAGGGGGCTGGTGCTGGCAGGGTTATGTAGTATGCTAAGATATATACAGGGTTTCTTTATGCAATGCATTTTCAATCGGAAGAAAATTCCAAACAAATGTACACCTATGGAGTAAGAAAATGCACTGACACGTATAACAAAGGGAAATGAAATGATCTGCGAGGAGTGGCGTATCTTATAAAGCCGATTAACGGGCGTACGGATGCGAATATTGGGAAATGTGACAATCAAACTTATACTAAACGGTAACAAAGACTAGCATAAAGACTTCTGAAAAGGAAAAAGTACGCTTGGAAAATTTTCAAACCTTAGCACAGGAAATACTACCCTAATAGCAAAAAGAGTTCTGAACGAGCCCAATCAGAGGTCGTTTGATGAATTGTGCAAACTGTTTTTGCGGTCTGATGTGGTCATTTATCTGAGCTCACTGAGAGCTGGATGTAAAAATCCCAGAACGAGATCAAAAAACGGACTTGCAAGCTTATTGCGAGCATGAGTCGAGTTCTAAAAACCGAGTTTCCCGCTTTACTCAAGCAGAGGTCCCCATTCATTGTACCGCCCCCCCCCCCTAGTAGTATTTCCATCGAGACCTCGTAATGAAAACGAAGTAATACATTTAAGCAGAAGAACTAGTTTATTAGGGACGAAATGTAAGACGGGGACGGTTGTTATAATGTGCTAGAGGATTTTGTCTCCTAGTTTGTTGTCCGATTCGTCCGTTGTGGATTGGAGGTCTACAAGGGAAATAATGAACACTGGTAAGTGAAAACAATGTTGTCTACTATAACATTAAATTTTGGTAATAACGTGAATATATTACAAAGTGCCATCTGTTATTTGGCTTCTGGAGGCCGTATGACATTGCTGTTGATAACGGTCGTGTGTTTACTAAGTGCACTTTTCAGGCATTGTCGATCAGACTTGCTGTCCTTATTCCATCTGTTGAAAGCCTCTGAAACACACATGATTAAGCACTTAAAACACAAATATTACGCTGGATGGCGGGGTCGACTGGAGATTCAAAAAACTCCTGGCTTCTTGTTTTCCTCTCGTAGAAGGTTAGAGATTGGACGAAGTCCTCTGTGAAGAGGACGAAGAAAATTCTTGCAGCGAATGCTGCGGTATTTCCGCCTCCAATAGAACACAAGTAGGACATATGTGCCTGGTGTTTTTTGTAAAAGACGTTTATGCCGAACGCCGTCTTAACGCTGCAACGGACGCTGCGATCGTCAGTTGGTTACAGACAGTCATCGTGCTTATTCATTGTACCTTTGGGCCGTCAGCAGCTGACGGCTGCGATGCTGATGTCGTCAGACCTTGGACCTCCTGACATGGGGTCTCAAATTCCGCCTTTTTTCGCTTTGATCATTCTGCTATTTTTTACTTGACTCCTTTATAAAGGTCGCTTTTTATTGCTGGGTATGATTTCACCCAGTCTTGTTAGACAGTTTGGTAAAGAAGCCAAATTTCGCGAAGCGCCATTTTATTGACGCCTATTCCTAGTTTTGTAGTAAACCCACGGTAGCATTTGCTATTCTGTGAGTTTTGTTGTACGTTAGCAACGCTTCAATTCTTGTACTGCAACGGAAAAAACTTATATCGTACCCTGTAATGCCCCGAAGAACAAGTGCTAACAGACGAAGGCTCGTGACCTCTCCGCCGTCTCTTAGTGCTAGAATCGTGACCGGAGACACAGCGGGTGTCAGTATGTGTTCGCTACCTTCTCTGGATATGGTTGACTCAAAACTCTCATTAGCGCATGTAGAACCTCAAAACCCTTTAATTGTTCAAAATGGAGCCTCTGTTGGTCGTAACAGACCATCAGCCGACGAAATGATAAATCATTTGATGTATGGTGATCTTAGCAGCACTTTTCAAAAAAACATAAAAAAGCTTTTAAAATTTCTGGGACAATAAGCTGTGAACCTGAGGAGAGGATAAAACGCAAGCATAATTTTACGCTGTAAAACATCCCAAATGACATATCTGCTTTAAGAAGGATGGCATCTGTTCCTGCAGAGTTGTGGCTTGGGTTTCACTGTCACTCAAGCTAAACGACTGTGCTAGCTCAGCCGTAATGCACCGATACTATTTACCCTTTTCTCCTTGATAGAAGTCGACTTCATCTTTTCGAGGAAGGAGATCACTAGAGATTTCTAACGTAAATGGCATTGCTCAGCTTCGTCGGACCTCACGCCACTGCAGCGAAAACTGAACAAATGTAACATGTCGAAAACTTACACCGACATAACGAAAATTGTTGCAATTTTGAATAAGCCCTCATTAAAATCATCTGCGTTCTCACCACGTCATGGCATAGTCGATTCCGTAGGCAACTCGATTACTCCTGATGCTGATATTTTTAAACGTAGCAACATGCCTGGCATACAAACATCCCTTCCGACTCACCCAGCAACCCAAAATAACCTAAGCAAGTATCTAATTTAAAGGCGAATCGGAGTGCCGTCACAGCCACTCGAGCAGCGGGTAAATCTAGTAATTGTTAGAAACCCTTTCCTCCACAGCCGCCTGTTATTGCCTCAAACATCACGGCCCCAAACATGACGTGTTTCCATATATCCTCCTAGCCTCATCTCGAAGCGGTTAAGCTGAATATGCCCACATTCCCGCCCATGAATATAATTCCTGCCCAAATTGAAATGATGTGTTCCCATCCCCAAAATGTTTCCGCCACGGCCGTCATAACAATGCATTACTCATGCTAATGTCCACACTGAGTCACTTAACTCATCCGATTTTCAGTTTTACTCCGGAGGGAATACGTTGTTATATCCGGCTCGTGGATTTACAGCAGAAAATCTGCCAGCCAAAATCAATCATGAGTTCCCCTACCCGTCATTTCCTCTCACAAATCCTACTCCCCTTTATTCAAGTTAGGGTCTACTGATGCTACAGTTTTTTTGCAGAACCAGACAGGTGCATCCGGACCGTATGTTCCGTGGACAGCCAATCACTGGACGACGTATCCCAACTCCCTTAAAAACAAACAGTCTTTTCTCTTACTTTCTTTGTTCTTACTAAATAAGATGACTCTGCTTCAGAAGTTGGTGTTCGTCAATTGCCCAGATATTGACTTAGTAACTGAGGCATCGGCAACAGCTTCCTAGCTGATTCTGAACTCTCTCGTCGAGGCTTTATTTGCATTCGAAATGATCGTGCAGACTGCCGTGGTGGGAGCAGTTGTGTCTACGCTTAGCATTCACTTACATTTCTGCTGCTGGACCTCCCGCATTTTTCCGCGGTAGAGGGCAGCTGCTGGCTCCAAGTTGCTGAAGAGGTCCAGTTGACAGAAAATCGTTCGTTAAAAATCTCGACACTTTTCCTTGGAAAAGTTCGAACTTATAGGAAAACGCAGCGACTCAGCTTCTGAGACGCTTTCGGGAATTCTATAGCTGATGCCCAATTGACAGTCAATAGTTTATTGTCCAAAACGTTCATTTAAAATTCGATAGTTCCGCTTCCGACCGTTCTTGAAACTATAACTTCCACCCTATGGGACGTGACTGTAGCGATTCTAGCGTTTTCTCCATTCTCATTGCCCTGGAACTGATGGCATCCCAGTTAGCATTCTAATGGCAGATGCAAATGAACTTTTCTCGTCCTTCAAGTGCAAGATATTTATTCCCGCTCTTGAAACTGAAACCTATCCTACGTTGTGGAGGGAATCATACATTCTGTCTATCTCCCAGCACGGTCACTCTACATCATCTGACGACTTTCGGCGAATAAACACCTTCCGCACAGCCTCGAACTATAAGACATATTGATTAAAGATAAGATGATGTGCCACTTAAGAGAGAATAACCTACTGATGATGCTCAGCATGGATTCCTCAAAGCTCGGTCTTGTCACACCTGTCAGCTCTCTTTCTTTGGTCATGTTCTCCAATCTAGGGATAATGGTTATGCGCTTTACACAGTTTATTTCAATTTCACAAAGGCTTTTGAACGTGTTGGCCATGCTTTTCGTCTCTTGAAACCTTCCTCTATTGGAATAGGTTGCAAATTTCTGAATTTTATATCTTCTTGTCGGGCTGGTCGCACACAACGAGTCAAGGTTTCCAATGCCATCTCCAACTCCACATGTGTGGGAAGTGGAGTCATTCAGAGTAGTGTACTCCGCCCGCTAGTATTTTACCTTTTTGTTAACGAACTGCAAAATTTATTTAAGAGTCGTAAGCCCTTCATGTAGGCCGATGATCTTAAAATTGCATATACGTATAAGCCAGTAGATCGTGATATCGTGCTTGAGCTCCTAAAGAGCGACCTACATGCCTTCTCCCAGTGGTGCCGCACATGGCACCATCTCCTCTCTTGGCACAAATGCTCAGTCATAGTGGTCGGCGATGACCACCAACCTTAACTAAGTTTTGACAGTCACGACATAAAGGTGCCTAGGTTTATTTAGGATCTGGGTGTATCATACTCCAGGAGTCTTAATCTTTCAGAAAGCTGCGCCCTGATAGTCCCCAAAGCACGTAGAACGGCCGGGTTTATCCTCCTAAATTTTAAAAGCAGCGAGATTATAATGCGCATTTATAAAATGTACATTAGACCTGGCCTAAAATACTGTCCATTTTTATTTAGCCTTATGCGTGCTGTGGAGCGGAAGAAAATAGAATCCGTCCAAAGTTTTTTTCACCAAGGGAGTTTTGACCTTGGACCGCCAGTATTTGAACTGCTAGGAAAGTTGCTGGCTTACGGGTCTTGGCCTTTGTGCTTTCGTTGCTTACAAAGGGACTTTTCTTACTTTTAAGCTTTTGTACAATCGTACCTTTAACCCCCTCACTACTTTAAGACATCCGGTTCGTCCCCAACGTAACAGTCACCATGAGGTATTTTTCATTTCTTCCTCTGACACATTCCGTTAAGTATCGTCCTTTCTTCTCTGTGAAAACAGTCACGATTTGTAATAGATTACTCAGGAACGTGAAACTTATACAAAATTATTCCTTGTTTAAGAGAACTATTGCTTGTTTCTTGCATTCATGAAGCCTCACGAATTTTGGGTGCTGAATCCAGCGATCGAATATGAAATAAGGATAGCATGCGTGGTCTCGGATCCACATGACCGGTCTCACCATGGACAATTTTATAGCCAACAGCGACAACTGTTCTTCAGTGCTTCTGTTTGATTCAATTCCAACTTTACAAAAAGAATTGGCGACTGGTAATATCCGACGAAGTGTTACCATCCAGTTCTGGCTGGACGAAATTTATTGGGCAGCAGTTTTTTTCTCCTGAACCATTCAAACTAAAAAACACCATGCCCTATATTTATTCATGAGGAATTTTTTCCACTGTTAGCCCGGGCCGTGTTTCATTTTTCCATGAAAGTGCCTGTTAATTGACATTGAGAACAAACACAACAACAAAAAACAACAAAAATCAGAGCGGCTAACTCTCGAGACGTGGTTCTCCGATGCCCACATTATCAACAGACATCTGGACCTTCCTGCAGCTTTCAAAGTCCTACGTCATCATAATCGTAGAGCTCAGGACCAAACAACCAGATTTGAATTAAGAACGCCGTACTGAGATAGCCTGACGCTGCGCTTACTCGTTGAGGCAGAAGAAGAACCGCCAGACCGACCGCCCGACGAAGGTCTGCTCAGCTTCCCACGACGGAGTGGTGACTCACAAAGCACACAGGCAAAAACGCCCGTCAACCATCTCTCGAGAGGCTGAGGCAGCGAGGGGAGTGAAAAATCGATCAGCATGAGGCCGACCAACACAAGATGCCACTTTAAATTAAATTTCTGGTCGATTAAGGGCATTTTAAGTTTTTACATTGGAGATCCGACCAAGTTATTTGAAACATCAGCATTTAAATAAACCTGATCCGGAGATCCTATCTTCCTTTTCAAATCATCTTCATTATTAACGTTTTTAAAATGCTTCATCTTGCTCCAGTAAGATGATGCCTGTCAGTTATTTTGTTAGCGGAGAATATTTGTGTATTGAATACAAGTCTTTACTCTGCAGTCCATTAACAATGAATAATCAAGAAGGAAATCTACTAAGCTGACATGCTATAACTCTTTAATATCCAGAAATTATAGGGCTTATGCCATTAGTAATTTCTTAAAGGGCGTATCGGCCAGATGTTTTTTAACAAATAAAACTTATCCACTTCTCAGTGCAAAAAATGCGACGACTGCATCGACGTGTGTTTTGTTAAGGGGAGGAATCTATGCCTGTAAGGATGGATTCGACTGTTCGTTTCATTGCATTAAAGTCGTAAATAATGAACAGTGTTATATTGCCTCAAATATTCTGATGTGGGGTCATATTGGACGAAGGTTAAATCAATCGGAATTGTTGATAGCGATTCGCTTTGATGCATCTCTTTCCCGGTATGAATTAAACCGGAATAGAAAGAGAGGAATTCGCTTTATTTTGAAATAATAAATCCCAAATCTTCAGCACAAAATGGACTCCATTCACTGTGGACAGAAGATAAGTTAACAATTTACTAATGAGTTAAAAGTATTACACGAAGGGGACGACTGCTCTGGGGACGATTTGGGTTTTTGCCGCTGTATTTCTGTCTCTTCATACGTAGATAGCGCGCCATGAACGGGAATGCAGAATTTAGATATTCCGATGTACGACAGGAGATGAATCGAAGGCCGCGAAACATGGGTGAGTAGACTTCGCATATATTAGTTCAGAATGCAGGCGATGGGCAACGACATCCAGAATTTGACCAAAAAATTGCTTGGCCGAGTTGAAATGTTTTTGTAGGCTAATATCGACTAAAAATACATAAGAAACACCGGCAGCAGAAGAGAGCAATCGGAGGACACGTTTTAAAACTAGCTGATCTTTTGTGAGCAAAGCGCGAAGAATGACAGGAGAATTATAAAGAATAAGAGGAAAAATGCAGGCATCTATGAAACGCTAGACTAAGGGTTGGGATATATCGTAGGAACGCAAAAGACGGATATAAATAAAAAGTTTACGTACTTTAGTTAAAGGAACTCAATATTTAGGGACAATGAAAGATGATAATAATAAATTTTATTCAAGACCCGTGGGGTCGTATCGTAGCAAGTAAAAATAACTTTTGCATTCATTTTAGAATTTTAGACGAGGTATACAGAATTATTACAGAATGATATTACCGACAAAGATAAGAGAGACTGGCCTATATCATCCCTATTTCATGCGCCGCTGTGCGGCTGCTGGTTGGGCTCGAGAGAGAGTCCATAAGGCGCAACGGAACGAGTGATTTCCGTAAGAACGATCTGTGAGCGTCCACTACCATAGAATTATTACAATACTTAATTCATAGTTTTTGAATAAGTACCATGTTGCGAAGAATGTTGAGCGAGCAGTAAAAATCCTAACGTAAGCAAAGTGAGTATGCTAGGATTAGAACTATAGGAGAAAAAACTCTCGCTCGTGAATATATAAAAAGCAGGCAGGACCGGCCTTTATTTGGCATTTTATGGCGGATTCATGGAGGGGTAAGTAGGCGGGTCAGGCAGGACTGGCCTGCTTGGAGACTTGAGTAAAAGGTTTCGAGTCGGGAATTATCAAGAATTAATTCATATGCCGGATGAGGCCATTCATGTCAAAGTGGCGAATTAAAAACCAGTTACGAGGTGATAGGAACCCAGATGCGATGAGTTACATCCAACCGAAACCAGCCGAGGAGGTTTCAAGGGAGATGCTACCAGACTACTAGTATTTGTTCGGAAACTGAGGAACGAATTAAACGCAAGCATAATTTCGTACTGCGAAACATTCTGAGCCACTTATCTGCTATGGAGGGAGCGCATTTGTTCCTACAAAGTTGTGGTTTGAGTTTTAGTGTCGCACAAGCTAAGCGACTTCGCTCGCTTAGCCGTAATGCGCCGATACTAGTTACCCTTTTCTCCATGATAGAAGTC